TATAAAGCGTGCAGCTGAAATAAGGTTATCTGCTAAGTGTGTCCAAAACATGTGTTTATTTCATTCTCAAAAATAATTTTGAGAAATTTTGTCGGTTCTGATAGGTAAAAATGAAACCATGGCCACTCCTTTAACGAACTCAATTGAACTAAATAATACAGCTTTCAGCTATGAATAGCCAGGTAGAAACGTGCCAAATACATTCTAAATTTCCAATTTTAAAAAATGATGAATTTATGGCGTATGATCAATAGCACGGACTGACAGGCATGGGGGGCTTTTATTGAATAGCTTGTCCTAAGGTAGAGGTGTCAAGCTCAATCGCCCGGGGGGTTGGGGGGGGGGGGTGTAAATTCAAATAATTTCAATGCACCTAAAGCTGTGGGCTAAATTGGCTAAATCATCATTGAGCAGTGAAAAATTAAACCTTTTCAAACGTATGACATGAATTTCCACCAAAAAAAGTATAAATGATAACAAATTAAGGTATGTCAGTCTTATTTGCTATGCCAATTGGTCAGAGCTGGTTGTTTGGTATCTTTTCTTGGCAACTAACTCGTTGATGCCGGAGTAAGGTTCCATGTAAGGGAAATTCTCGGGATGGACAGCCTAAAGTTCCCTCGCAGGCCAGATAAATTGTTTAACTGAACGGAAGTGGCTCTCAGCTCTTGAGTTTGACACTTGTGTCTTAGGGCTTTGCACACAACGATGGCCCTCACACTGTGTGACGCTTTCTAATTAAAGCTAATTAAAGGGGATTTCATCCAAGGGTCCTAAATGGTAATTGACTTTGAGATCCAACAGGGTTTTTAGTTGGGATATGCCTGGTGGGGGGGGGGGGTCAGTAGAGGAGGGGTGTCTGAGTTGAGCCTGCGGCTCTTACTGCACGTTTACACCCAATGTATTTTAATGTCAAAGACGTTTCTCCTTCTAGGGTAATTAGAGGGGTCAAATGAAGTAAAAATACTTTTTATTTCTAGGGTTGGACTCAAAAAGGAGGTATGAAAACAGGAAAAAATATGAACAAGAGGATTATTACTCAGAAATAATGTGCCGGATGTAGAAACGTCCCACACTCTGCATGATGTTACGTGGACGAAGAGTCCAAGTTTACTTATTCAGTCACACTCGGATATAACAAGACTAGGGACCGGCACTTTTTCCCTGTTATAAGCGAGTCCTGTTATAAACGTTATCAATGGAAACTACCTGTACAATTGTACCATCAGCCTACTATATATTATATTTGATTACCGCAGATCCTTTTCCTGTGGGCTGTTTTGCTGACACTGAGACGGAATCGATCAGTGACCCCAACACTGTGGGGGGGGGGTATATGTTTGAAAGTTTGTGATTAGGCAAGCGGTCATACAAACAGGTGAAATATCTTGGTTGAGACAA